TGACTCTCAAACTTGGAAGGAGATTAGATTTAGATACCCTACGTAGGTTCATTCCTCACAGAGGGAGGGAGAGAGAGAATAGAATAAATGTAAGATTTTAAGTGTGTCACTTCCCCCACACTCATCTTTGAGTGGAAAGCTAATTGCAATATCTCTTCAATTTATTTTGCAAAATGCTTATCCAAATTCTCCTGTAATCACTTTTTGATAGCAAGACCAATTTAGATCCTTTTGGACTATTGATGAAGTTTTAGATCACAGTATGGTCTGATAATGTGACTTTCACATGTCAATAAAGCAAAAGTATAAGGGATAAATTTGATATCCTGTATTTACACACTTCATAATATCATATAGTATTCTTTACGGGTATGATCTCTTTATAGCTATTATTCCAGTATAACTGCTCCAGAAGGCTGGCACATTGAGACTTTTCTGTAGTTGACCTACTTGCCCATTGCCATTGAAGTGAAGCTGAGTTATATTTTAGGATCACTGTTCTTCTGCCTGTTTGAGATTGTACTTGAGAATGTATTAGGATACATTTTTACATTCATTTAACACATCTATTGATAAACAAGTCCTGAGCTTACCTTGGGAACAGACAAATAAATGAGATGTGGTGTTTATTCCTGGGTCCCTCACCCATGAGGAATGCAGGGTTTTGTAGGCAAGACAAGTATATAAATAGATTTTTAATGCAATCTAACTAGGTGTTATAAAAGAGGTATTATCAAAGTACTATGGAAATTTCTAGGCATAAAAAATTCTTCTGTAGGTATTACCACAAATTACTCAGAAATTAGTGCATGCAGAGGACTGTGTCCTTGCAGCATATGGGAAGGAAGATATGCTATCGATGAAAGATTAAATATTAGGGTAGTATTGTATTGTGTATGAAACCTGATTGATTTAGATTACGCATCAACCAGCATATGTAGATTATTGTATTGGGAAAATTCTATAAACAGTTAAAGATTTTTATTGGGATAACTGAACTAGAAATTTTCTGGCTTTTGCTACTCAAACAGAACATTATCAAGTGCTACATTTCTGTAGTAATAATCAGTAAACAGGAAGGCCCACATATTCTGTAGACAACAGTGTGACATAAAGAATGGTCCACAAAAGTGGTAATGTTCTCTGATTGGGCTGGATTCTGCAGTTATTTCAGTAATATTTACAACACCATGTGAAAAATGGGGGGTGTCAGGATCTTCAGACAACTGTTGAATAACATAGTGCTTGTAATTAACCAGTACACAGAAGTGGATAAATGCTTTAAGAATTCTCTAACACACCATTGTCTCAAGCAAACTGTGTAACTACAGATAACAAGACTCCAGCTTGCCTTGTAATTATATGTGGAGTTGTTACTGTTTTTTTACACAAGATCTCTATATAGGCTCTGAGTCTCGGAGGTTAAATCAGGAATAGCTGACATTTTAAATCAGGACCATTGCCACTAATCTAAGGATTAACTGCACATGTGTTCAGTGTGGAAGGTTCGGTTGGTCTGCTTTGTCCTTTAGCAGCTATAGTTGCAAACAAAGATTATAAAAAAAGGAGAGATGGCCTATATATGTGTATGTGTTTGTAAAAGGAATTCTCATTTTTCTTTCCTTCGCTGAGCCCTTACTCCAGACTTATTTTTATTATTTTTTGTAAATTTTTGTTGAAGACTTTCATAGAACACAGTAGTCTTAGTAATTCAAGATTTTTCTCTATTTCATGAATCCATGTTTTCTTAGAAGGGTGTTAACTAGCCCCTTCTCCACTCTTACGTCACAACACTAGTTTATATGTCACATGTTAATTAATCTATATCATGGAATCACTTTGTAATCTATATTTAGGAATCTCTTTCTCATTGAGAGACATTGTCTTTCTCATTATGGGTGTATTGATAACTTGTCTTAATTTCCGGAGTAGCATCAGTACTTCTGTTTGAACCAAGGTGAAATTTTGCACCTATTCCTCAGTTCTCTAGGTTCCTCTTTCATTACTGTCTGCTTGCCTACTGGTATTTTCTCCACTCCCATTTTATCATCATCTGTGAACTTAACTAACGTGATGTTTACTCCTTCTTTCAAATCATTAGTGAAATAAACTGTGAAGTGATACTTTTATCTTTAATAGTTAATGCTGAAAACGTGACAAATGAATAAAAGCATCTCTAACTCACTTCCTGTCAGGCATCTCTTTAGTGTCTTGGGGATATGACTTGAAATGATAGTGCTCACATCTCTTTTGCAGCTAGTTCACCCTGAAAGGATATAATCATCTGTTTGATATCAGAGTCACTTCCCCAGTCACAGATTATGATGTCACAAACCAAAGATTATTCTCTCTCAGCAGGAAAAAGCTGGAGAGGAGATGAATCTTCGTGATGAACTACATCCTTATTCAAATGTACTCACGTTATGAAGAAAACTTACCATAATAAAGGATAAATAGACTGGCTAATTGAAATACTGGCTAACTGAATTAAGCTTGGAACACTTTACCATTATGCTGGAATGGAAAAAATTCTTTCAAAAATTTAAAGTAAAAATTTGAAAGTTATAATAATGCAGATATAAGTAAATACACATTTAACTCATTTAAAAATATTAAATGTTTGCACATAAGAATGAATTTTAGGTATATTTCTAATTTTATATACAAAGTTATATTGCTTGTTATTTCAGATAAAATGATTTTTTAAAAAAATTGGTATGTCAAGAAAGACACTAAATGGATGTGCTTTATATTGACCTATGTACCCTTTTTTTATTTTCTCATGGTTTAAACAAAAAGCTTATAGCTTTTGGATGATTTTAAGTGACCAGAACCTAAGGATATAATACATATCATTGTAAGGTTAAGCCAAAATATTTGCTCCTATTTTCTCATGGTTTAAACAAAAAGCTTATAGCTTTTGGATGATTTTAAGTGACCAGAACCCAAGGATATAATACATATCATTGTAAGGTTAAGCCAAAATATTTGCTCTATTTCTATGAAAGAAACCAGTAATACACAAACATATTACTTTTACACTGTAGCACTTTTATATGTTATGTGCAAATAAAATATTCTAAATTACAGAAACAAGCATTGTTTACTTCCCAAGTATTCATTGAATACTTCCCAAGAATTTTCAAAATCGTTTCAACTGTTAAATCTATTAATACAAGGGGAAAAGACCTATAAATAAGCCAAATTTTCTAATGGTACTGGCATAAAAGGACAGAAGGGGGGGGGTAGTATCTGTTTGCCCATCCCTTGTCATTAGAAGGTAAGTTGTAGAAGCAAAGTCCCAAACTAGTGGGACAGGAGTCTCTGTTTACAATGAGTAAATAAAATCCAGAAGACTTCAGAATATTATTTTATGCCCCCTTTAATTCTATTTATTGGAAGCAAATTGAGCATAATATTGTAAATTTCATATTTTTGCCCAAGGTAATTAAAAAAGTTTTTAAATTATAATTTGAAATATTGATTAGTATTTAAAATATATACATATTTTTGAAGCATGCCAGTTTACAAAATATAATATTGTAACGAGGGGGAAACAGATGAAAAGAACCTTTAAGGGTTTTTAAAGAGGAACCCTTAAGGTAAGTCTCCATGTAGGTTAAAAAACAATACTTTTAGTTATGGCTGGTATACAAGTGGAATATTTTGGAATTTCTAAATATTAAACGTTTTTCTGTGAAACAAATTGGCATATTATACAAGCACTGCTTGCATTTAAATTGCTACTTTCCTTTGGTACTGGAAAATGACAGGTGAATTTCTGTAATGACTTCAGATGCAAAAGATCTATGATATTTAAAATTATTTATAGACTGTCTTGAAAAGAGTGAGGCGATCATGTAATTCACTCTCTTAAAATTTGAAGGAAAGAATTCAGTGAAACAGGAGAGTAGAATTTCAAATTTGACTTTTTAGACAAGTATTGAATAATTACTTCTGATAACTTTCCTTGTATTATCAGAAGATCTCTATAGTTAGATGTGGTTTACTTTTATTCTTTCCCTTATCTCCTCTCCTCTAAGATAATAGAAATATGACTATAGGTTATAGGGCTTCTTAGATAAGATTAAGCTTTGAACCTTAACTTTCTGATTGAACTTACATGAAAACTAATGTGATTGAATCTTTGCTAAAAATCTGTGTAGAAAATTGAAATATCATCAGGCAAAGAAAGTCTGACAATTCCTGTTGTTTTTACGTAATATAGTCTCATTATGAAGTGATGTCTTGGGAATTTTTAAAAGGCATTGTACCCATTACAAAATTCTTTGATGGCTTTGCTAGTTCTTTGCAGTTTACAGTTTGAACCATTGATCTGAGTTAAGGCTTTTGAGATTTTAAGGTACGAGATATCTTTTGGTTCTGTTGTTAAATCAGAAAAATGTCCTTATTTAGTTGTCATAAGAATATGCCTAGTATCTTTAGGGTAAATTAGCCCTATTCCCAATTCTACTAAAGTATTATTCCTTAGTTTACTAGAGATTGTTTTTCTTTAGTGTGAATGAGTGACATCACAGCTTTTTTTTTTTTTTTTGCTAACAGTGAAAATCAGTCATTGAGCTTTGTTCTTTTGCATTAATAGAAATATTAAAAATGCTTATTAATTTTTGTTCTTTTCACCAAATACCCTGGGAAACAAAGTTCATTTGAATATGTTTGGTAAATAGCATCTGTGAATGGCTCTTATGCACCACTCCGGACTCTCTTCACACATTTTTTTCAAGCTATTAAAAAAGACAACATTGGGATTTTTAAAAATGAAGACAAAGATAAGACAAATCCAGTGAAAAATGAATGGGATTTTTCTGAATGTTATGAGTGACTGGTTTATGCAGCATATGTAAAAACAAGTGTTTACCCCAGAAGGCTTAAATTTGCATAAAGCTTAAGGGAGGATGGGATGAATTTCAAATTTACTGGCTCATTCACAACATCAGCAGATTTAATTTTAGTAGCCAAGATATAAAATTAAATCTTACCTGGCAGTGGTTTGTTTGAAGCTCAGTAATTTGAACTCTGGCTGGAGATAGTAAGTTTCGATACCTGAAATGCCTTCTCTACTTTCCTTTCATGTTTTCTTTTACCAGCGTCTTATTTCTTGCAGTGTCTCTATATCTGTATTCCTGATAATCCTGCAGCATTAGTTAGGACAGCACGCGACAGATGAAGACTCCATTTGAATAGGATTATAGAAATAGAAGGGCAAATTTTGCCTTTATCTGATAACAACAGTTGATCTGACCAGACGATTTGAGTGTTCAGAACTTATTAAAAATTCATTGAATGTTTCAGCAGTGAGAAATCCTGGTTGTTTCTATGGATGTTTTACCCTCTGGAAAAGTTCTGCTTGTCTATATTTCAGAATTATACATGCTCCCAAATCAAGTTGCTTTAAAAAATTATCTGGGTGAGAAGCACGGATGTTCTCTTAGACTCTCTTGCTGTCCTTATCTGTTTTTTTCTTTACCAACTTTTCAGTCCATTAGCTTCCTTTCTGTAGAGGATGAAGAGATTTCTTCTATTCTTGTGCTTCTGTAACACATAGTCCTGGTGTGCTGTTTTTTGAATAGTGAGGGAAAAATTCAAAAGGATGTTTAGCTTTATCATATCTCCGGACAGTGAGCATACTAGGCGTGGATGAAGAGCTGATGTGAGCCATTCAAACCAGACAGCAAACTGATGGGATGACGCCTTCATACATAATAAACCCATTAATTACTTCTCCTGATGGACAGCATTATGCCCTGAAAGAAAAAAAGAAAGGAGCAGATGATCATATATCATACTCGTTTTGATAGGTGTTCTCTGAATAGCTTGTCATTGAGAAGTGAATCCAGGAAAAGCTGCAGCTTTGGAGTGTGATCAGGTAGAATGGGCAAGACTTATTTTGACAGACAGTTACGTGACGTATTTTGGGAGGGAAAAGAGAGCTTAGCACAGAGGTAGCTGGAATGAGGTTCCAAAATGCTTTTGAAAATATTCATTTTTCCCTGTTGGTCTTTTTGGCTGGAAGCTTTTTTTAAAGCTTTGCTATGCATTATTTGCAGACATTTTACAGAGTTGTTTTCTCATCATATAACTTTTCCTAATGAAGGAAAATAATTTTTAAAAAGTCTTTGAGTTAGAAAGAGTATATTATGAATTTTAAAAATTTGTGGCAGGGGAAAGACTACAATTTGTGAAAGGTTTTATATATCTTTTGGGCACATGGATTTTGTTGCTTTGGAATAAGGCATTATGAGTCATAATTTGGTATAAAATTCTTAAATTAGGTGAAGTTTTTTTTTTTTTTTTCTTTTTGTCTTTTTTACTGACCGGTAACGGGATCGCAACCCTCAGTGTCGCGCCCGTACCGGGGACGGCAACGGGATCGCAACCCTCGGTGTTGCGCCCGCACTGCGCTCAGCCAGTGAGCGGGAACCGGTCTCCACATGGGATCCGAACCCTCGGCGGGAGCGCCGCCGCACTCCCAAGCGGCGCACTCTCCAGTGCGCCACAGGGCCGGCCCAAATTAGGTGAAGTTCTAATTAGGTATATAAAAGAATAGATTTTAAAAATGTCAACTTCATAATTTTTATGCTTTGATTTTTAAATCTTGCAAAGAAATTTTTTTCCTACCTGTCAGTAGAGTCCTTTAGGAATGTGTCTAGACAATAGAATGTTTTTAAATGTTTTAAAAAATTATGAAAAATTTCAAACTTACATAAAACTCTGAAAAATAATACATGACCCTTATAAACCATTATGCAGATTCAGTAATTAAGATTTTTTTTCTCTTTGCTGAAATATTTTAAAGCAAATTTCATTTCAACTCTTCATACTTTAGTATGTATACTTTAAAAGTATGGACACCTTTTCACATGACCACTGTGCCATTATCATAGCTAACACAATTATTAATATTTCTTATCCAGTTCATTTCAAATTCCTCATGTCTTAGAAACTGTCTCTTTATGTAGGTTGTTTTGAATGAGAATCCAAAGTATACACATTGTTAGGCATTAACACTGACTTAGATAATCACATATGAGAAAGAAATAAATCGTAGTTTTATAGTAGTCTTCTACACATAGAACATAGCTCTAGAATATTTTCTTGAACTTTTCCCACTTAAAACACTGTATGATACCAAAAAGGATTGTAATTTTATATGGTAATAATTGGCCATTGGTTTGGTTCGTTGCTTTCTATAGGTTTTTCTTGACTTGTTCTAGACTATGTAAGATTCTGCCCCATGCTATTGAGGCTGTCTTTTGGGCTGGGCAAACTAAATCAAATACATTTTAGGGTCATTTCTACTTTATTGCTGCAAAACACTACCTTACTTGTTATCTTATCAAACACAATAGAACATTTCTATAATAAATACTTCATTTTAAGCTGTTGATTATTACGCCACTTCAACTTTTTTTTTTACTGATATTAGAGTAAAAATAGTTAATTGTACATATCTGTGAGGTACAGAGTTGAATATCAATGCCTGTGTGCAATATGTGATGCTCAAATCAGAATAATTAATATATTCAACATTATACAATGTAATCCGTTTTCGTGGTCCTTTACCAATTCCTCTGTTACCTGCCTCCCTCTCTCCCTTTCCCACCTCTGGTAACCTCAGTTCTGTTCATTTCAACATTTGAGTGTGATTTAGAGTTCTGTGAACATCTAAAATATGAGAAGTAAAAATCTATCAAATGGGGCCATTGTGTTTCAATGACTGTAATATTATTTAATTTTTTTCATTAATGACAAGGTATTTTCCTCTATAAATTTTTATTTTCTATAAGGTTTGAACTCCTAGCTCCTTTGTGATTAAACAGAGCATTTGGCTGTCCACTTAACTTTTCCAAGAATGCAATAAGTAACATGAGGTCCTGAAATAACTTGTGTGCTGCCTCTCTGCTGTTGAAATTCATTCTATTCAGATTCTTTCTCTCTTTCTCTATTCTCATCTTCCAAATTGACTAATGAATTAGAATGGGGAAGGTGATATATGAGGAAAATTAGAATGGGGAAGGTCAAATAAAAGAACATGGATGAAAATTATATTTTTCTGTGCCCACCTAGGCTCAGAGCCACTACTGAGGAACATGCTGCCATTTCTATGAAGGACTATTGAATGTGGCATAGATCATAGATACTGCTCTCCCAAGGTGCTCATAGATCAAGATACTGCATAGATCATATGTACTGCCCTCCCATGGTGCTCATAGGTCAAGGTACTGCATGGATCATAGGTACTGCATGGATCATAGGTACTGCCTTCTCATGGTGCTCATAGATCACGATACTGCATGGATCATAGGTACTGCCTTCTCATGGTGCTCATAGATCACGATACTACATAGATCATGGGTACTGCCCTCATAGATAAAGGTACTACTTACATCATAGGTACTACCCTGCCAAGGTGCTCATAGGTCATGGATACTGCCCAACCATGGTGCTCATAGATCAAGGTACTGCCTAGATGATAGGCTCTGACCTGCCAAGGTGCTTATAGATAAAGGTACTACATAGGTCATGGGTACTGCCCTCACTTGGTGCTCCTAGATCAAGGTACTGCATAGATCATAGGCAAATTTTTATGTTCTCAAATTATGACTTGTCTTTTAAATCTTGCTGAACAAAAGTGTATGAGTTTATTACCTACTCTTAGTTACTGAAAGGTCAGTAAATAGTTACTATGACCATTATATATAGATAAACTGAAAGGGAAAAAGTGAGCCAAAATGTTTCTATTCCCAAGTTGTCTCTAAGTTTTCTCCTCAATTATTTATAATGCAATGTCAGCATCAGGAGGGCACTTTGCAAGTTTGCAGTTCTACTGGAGAACTTTGTATGGTTGGTGAAAGTGGTTATATAGTGAACTAGAATAATAGATGGTGAGTGTATTTGGGGTGCAAATATTCAAATCATTTCCCAGTGGCTTGGCTGTAAACTGAATTAACAGAAAAACAGAGAATCAACTAGTGATCGATAGAGTTCCAAACCAAAAGTAGGTGTACCTTAGCCATTGGAAGAAGTACTTTTTCCACGACTTTGCTCTTGGTATCCCTAACATTATCTTGTTTATAGAAAGCTAGATTTATTTTTACTTTCTCTGGGATGGACTTTCTGCTTTGAAGCAAGGAGTTATCTATGTAAGTGATTTTGTTCAGAGATTTAATTGGTTGAGTAGCTAGTTGGGTGGATGGCTTGTTTTTTTTCTTCTAAATATGAGTAGTAGGAGGGAAAGTCTCAGGGAAATTGACTTTTATGTTCCTTTGGGTGCATATAATAAAGCACATTTTTCTTTTTTTTCTTTTGTTCAGGCTTCTGAATACTCATCTCCCATTTTGCAGCTCCTTTTGTTCTCATATTTTATCTGAACTCTCCCATTTCCACTATAAAGTTGGCCAAACTTCAGAAACTTCCTAGGCTTCATAGGTTTTTAAATAACTTTATGCATAATAAGATAAATGATTTTTTTCCTCCACAAAATTCTTTCTTGCTGGAACATTTGGTCCATACCTAGAAGTTTCTTACAGCTGTTTTTGCATCTTTGCAAAATTATAACTACTGCTTCTATAAAGAAAAAAGTAGGCCCCTGTTTATGTCCTTCAGTTTGTAGATGAGTAGGATTTGTGGTTACCGACTTCTTCTGTGGCAACTACTTATTTTTAGGACATTTCAAATATTCGTAATCTCAATTGAGTGTGTTTTTTCAGTTAATAAGCTAGGAGAAAATGTTGCATTTTAGGTGTGTTGCTGAGGGGGATACAAATTCGATTTTGTGTACAACAAAATTGATTATTGTGAAACTACTGCTTTCTTTATGTGTACTCGTATCATATTCACGTAAACCGATCACATTTTTATTTTCTTATTAAGACTTTTAAAAAATGTTTCATTTTTAAACTACTTTAGTTTATTCCGATATCATAGTTGATTTCTCTCACACACTCGTTTCACTGTCTCAGGTGCTTGGCCCTATCTGGACATCCTTCAGATTTTAAGACTTCTCCTAGCGAACTGCAGACAACCGCTAGAGGGCTCCAGACCACACTTTA